CAGCTCAAGCGTCAACTGGCACAATGCTAGACTTTGCCCAATTGACCCTAAGGCCCGAAAACTTGGCACAATTAGCCAAAATTTTAAAAAACGCATGAAAAAATAGCCCTGGGCCCTGTAGAAAAAGTAACAAAACATCAGCGTATAGAGCCATACATTAAAGGAGACCTCCCACCTCGAGCTTTCACCACTGGAGATGCCCGCAGAGCTATAGCTATTGACTCCATCATAAGCGCAAAAAGAAAAGGAGACGGGGGCACCCCTGCTGTGTACCTCTGCCCACTGAGAAAAAAGAGGAGACCGCCGTGTCTATACAAAGAGCTGCAACTGGACTACTGTACAACAAAGTAATCCATGTTAAAAACCGTGGCCCGAACCCCATATGGCATAATACAGTGGCCATAGACGTCCAATCCAGTTGTAGGCTTTCTCCATATCTAGGGAAAATACTACCCACGACCCCCCCAAGTGGTATGCTCCAGCTGCAGGTTTGTGAACAGACTTCTCAACTTGGTGTCAGTGGATTCTACAGGAATGAACCTTGCTTGATCAGCATCCACCAGAGTGGTAAGTACTTTGGATAACCTATTGGCCAAAATTTTAAAAAGGATTTTCAAATCCTGATTCAGGAGGGCAATAGGTCGATAAGAGGAGCACTCCAAGGGATCCTTGCCCGGTTTTGGCAGCAATACTACATGGGCCTCAAACAAAGAGGAGGGTAGCACTCGATTGTCCAAACAGTAATGATATGGGGATCTAAGCCTAGGAATAATGGTTTCCATGTGTAGTTTGTACCATTCAATAGAGAACCCATCCGGCCCAGGTGATTTGTGGAGAGGGAAACTCCTAATGGCTAGCTCTAATTCCTCCCTCAAAATATCTACTTCCATGCTGTCTCTATCTGCTACCGATAAAGAGGGTATGGGGAGTGTTCTAAACATCTGCTCTAGATCTCCCTCATTGTAGGAAGTATGTGGGGCATATAAAGCTTTATAAACACTTACAAAGTGCTCAGAATATCAGAAAGAGAGGTAACTAGAATCCCTTGTAAGTTCCTGATGCAGGGTACATTAGTCTGAGCCTTCTGTTCTGCAACCAATGGAGCCAACAATTTCCCATTCTTGTCACCTTGGTCAAACAAAGACTCAGCCCTCTTAACCCAGGAAGTCTGCGTCAGCTCCGTGAAATGTATAGCTAGTTTACGGGGGGCTTCCAAGAGTTCCACATACCGTATTTTCCGGCGTATAAGACGACTGGGCGTATAAGACGACCCCCCTACTTTTCCTGTTAAAATGTAGTGTTTGGGCTATACTCGCCGTATAAGACTACCCCTCTTCCAATGCACACCAGTGGGAAGAATCGTGCCCCATCATTAGTATCAGTGGGAGGAATAGCACCCCATCATTGGTGTCAGTGGGAGGAATAGCACCCCATCATTGGTGTCAGTGGGAGGAATAGCACCCCATCATTGGTGTCAGTGGGAGGAATAGCACCCCATCATTGGTGTCAGTGGGAGGAATAGCGTCCTATCATTGGTGTCAGTGGGAGGAATAGCACCCCATCATTGGTGTCAGTGGGAGGAATAGTGTCCCATCATTGGTGTCAGTGGGAGGAATAGCACCCCATCATTGGCGTCAGTGGGAGGAATAGCACCCCATCATGGCGTCAGTGGGAGGAATAGCACCCCATCATTGGCGTCAGTGGGAGGAATAGCGCCCCATCATTGGCGTCAGTGGGAGGAATAGTGCCCATCATTGGTGTCAGTGGGGGGAATAGTGTCCCATCATTGGTGTCAGTGGGAGGAATAGTGCCCCATCATTGGTGTCAGTGGGGGGTGGAATAGTGCCCCATCGTTGGTGTCAGTGGAGGGGGAATAGTGTCCCATCGTTGGTGTCAGTGGGGGGGGGGGAAGTGCCCCATCGTCAGTGTCAGTGGGAGGAATAATGCCCCATCATTGGTATCAGTGACACCAATGATGGGGCACTATTCCTCCCACTGACACTTGCTGACCCCTGTTCAGTATGGTGCTGCTGCAGCAAGCATATATGGTTGCAGCAGCACCTGTGCACGGCACACTTACCTTCACTTGATTTTCGCGGGGGCCGCTCGGCTCCGCCTCCTCCCCGGTGATTGGCCGCCTTGTGTGCCTTTCCCGAGCTACAGTTCTGGAGGCCAATCACCGGTGAGGAGGCGGAGCCGAGCAGCCGAGCAGCCGCACGAACATCCAGTGGCCGAACTGAAGGAAGGAGCAGCTGCGCTTCCTGGACCGGATCGTCGTGGGACCGGAGCCAGGTAAGAAACAGAAGCCCCTGCCCACCCCTGTACTTAGTTTCACTTCTGTTGGAAGAGGGGTGCGGCGGCGGCACCGCACCGCCCCCCTAAAAAGTGTCATCATGCCGTATACCGGCGTATAAGACGACCCCCGACTTTTGAGAAGATTTTCAAGGGTCAAAAAGTCGTCTTATACGCCGGAAAATACGGTAAGTATTATCTGATGGAGAAGAGGCATGAGCAGCATCACAGGATTGCTCCTCCTTCTGCAAGCTCTGCAACATAGCATTGAAGTCGTTACAAGCACTCTTGATAGCAGAGACATACTGGCTCCTCATATATGCCTTAAATGCATCCCAGACAACTGGAAAGGATGTGGATGTTAAGTTGTAATCCCAATACCAATCAAAAGCAGGAACCACCTGAGCAGACAGACTCCACTTCTAACCAGCCTGGGCTCAATCGCCATGCACCTCCCCTGCCTCTGGATGGGAAGCCAAGGGTAATGGATAGAGGGGTGTGATCAGACAGGCCCCCCCTGATAAATATTTTTGCTTGGTAGATAATTTGTAATAGGGAAGCGTTGGCAAATGCCAAATCGAGCCGCGATGAGGAACTGTGTGTCTTAGATGGGAATAACTGTGTGCAATGGGATTCTTCCATCGCCACACCTCAGTAAGGGAGGCAGTTGTCGCCCAAATCTGCAGGTCTAGCAAGGGAGCTCTAGTAGGGTTGAAATGAATCAAGCACTGTGTCACATGACATGTTAAAGGGCCAATCACAGCGCCCTTTTACCACCTGATCATCTGTGTCCAATGACACAGCTGATCACAATGTAAATACAGTTGCTGGTTATCGGTTATTGTTAGCGGAGAGTCGGTAATCGGCAAATGTATTTAAAAGATCAGAGGCAGTCCAGTGCAGCTCCCAGCCCCAACAGTGTCCATCAATGCTGCCAATCAGTGTCCATCAATGACCTTCAGTGTTGCCCATCAGTGCAGCCTTGTCAGTGCCCATCAGTGCAGCCTCATCAGCGCACATCAGTGAAGGTGAAAAATTACCTGCTTGCAAAATTGTATAACAGAAACTAAGAAAAAAATTTTTTTTCAACATTTTTGGTCTCTTTTTGTTTGTTTAGCAAAAAATAAAAACCCAGTAGTGATTAAATATCACCAAAAGAAAGCTGTATATATCTCAAAAAAATAAGTGTGACAGCACTGAAAGCTGAAAATTGGCCTGGGCAGAAAGGAGGTGAAAGTGCCCAGTAGGCAAGTGGTTAATCATTAGTCAGGCTTATGCTAGTTGTTTTTAATGTATTACTTGCATAATACGTTGTATATGTACACACCAACACAGTGTCCGGATTGTAGTAATATTATTAATATGTCTGGTGCTTATACTGTTATTGCTTTTATTAATATGACAGAAATTCAGTCACTTGCTAAGGCAGCACTTGTGTGTGCATACTATGGGGGAGTGGAGTGTCTTTCAACTCTTCTAAACCATAAGTTGCAAAAGTGATCCAATTAATAAACAGATTAGACACTGTGTAAATGAATGCATCATATAGAGAGAATCGTATACTGAGAAGAGGAAGGAAGTGGGCATTAGTCAGCACATGTTTCCTTCTGGTTATTAACTCTGTGTTCACACTATTTTTTTTTTTCTGTTCAGACGTTACCAATCCTCATTGCGTGGTGAGTCTTCTGGTGTTTCACCTAGCTGCACATCGTTCACATCTGTCACCCAGTTGTAATTTGATGTCCAGGTGCACTCTATTTTTTTATTCAGCTAATGGAGGATTTTAGCCCCATATCTGTCAGTTTAAATAAACATAGTTGAAATGTTCTACTAGAATTTTCTGAGTGCAATCCTTTTTGACTTTTTTGACAGAATAAAAGAAAAGTGCTTTTTCTACCTAGGTGATATTGCCCCTCTTGTAGAAGTATTGTGCCTTGATGCTTTATGTTGCCCTTTTATTCATCATGTACACTGGTAACACTCTCCGCTGGAAGATTATGTTGTAGATAATTTTAAAGTATTATTTATGCTTTCAGCTGCAGCTGAGTCAGACATTGTGCCCATCTGATGGAAGGCAAAGGTTAGGTGCAGGCTGGAAAAGTTGTGGGGAACCCATGCATGCTTCCTATGGTAGCAGAAGTGAGAGCAGCCATTGTGTACTTACTAGCTGGCTGGTTTATGCATAAAAGGAAGCTGTTTACCAAAAGCCTAAGTCATGGCAAGAAATTTATTGGAGAGTGACAACAAAAGGAAAGTTTTTGCACCATTCAGTTGTATTTTTTTCATTTCTGGCTGGTTGCTATGGATGATGAGCTCCATTTTGCAGCAAATTGTCTTTATTTAGTTCCTGCCATTTATGTATTTTATTTGCAAAAACTGACCATTTTGTTTGTACATAGATGTCTCATTTCATTTTATGTATTATGTGTCATCTGCTTGTAGTAAACTGGCAACAAAATCTGTTAGGTTGGTTATAGCTGTTGAGGGACCAAATATGTCATGGTTATGGGAATCCGGGCAACAAACAAAATAAATCACAATGTTGTTACGAAACAAAGAGGTACGGTAATATTTCAGAGATTCACACTCTTTACTTTTTCTCTACAGGTCACAATTTATGATTGGCGAAAATCCTAACAATGAAGAAAAACTCCAGAAGTCCCTTGTTGCCATTTTCAAGTGTGAATATACGATCTTCATCTCTATCAATGAAAGCCCAAAACCCTGCGTCGTATCTAAGGACTGGGGTCATTAGCCGCAGCTTGGACATGACTGAGGATAGTGAAATATCAGATTATGAGATGAACCAAGGTAGCTTGTGCAAGTATACCGGTTATATATCAAATGAAATATAAACTCATTGGCTAGACCAATGCATTCCTGCAGCAGATATGGACCCTAATTTTTTGTAGAACTATATTAAAGGCCAATTCACACTTTATGCACTGACAGACGTTTTAACGCGTGGTAAAATGCCTGTCACCTCAGGTACACATAGGAAACAATTGTTCCCTATGTGTCCCATTCGTGCTGAATTGTGCACTTCAAATAAAGCTCATACATACAAACACAAAAAAAAGGAAGCCGTGTGATGCGCTGTATCGCACACCACACTACACACTAACACAGTGGGCAATGCAGAACGGCCGGAGTGGTAAATCGCTCCTAAAAGAAATCTGGAGCAGCAGCTCCTTTAGTGCAGCTCTGTAGCATTGAAGTTATATCAACACGTACATCAGTTCAAAGAAATACTTTCTATTGTAAGACACTAATGTCAGGACAGTCATTGAGTAAGTTTTCTTTCAATACGTATGACTTGATGGCAACTGCTGTTCTACCCTTTCCATTTTCTAGTACAATTGATGGGGGGGGGGGGGGGGGGGGTGAATATTCTAAGGTATGAGTAATATATATGGAAATAAAAGGGGGTACATTGAGGAAAACCTAAGTGGGGTAAAGGGGTGGTTATAAGGCATCAGAATTCCCCACTCTCTCCTGAACCCCACTGTGCCTTTTCTCTGACTCCATGAGCCTCTTAGCCACATGAGTTAGCAAGCATTATGACCTGCAGAGATGTAGTCTTTTTATAGGAACCCAGGAGACCACATTGGAAAGTGTTTTTCAGTTTGTCCTTTTAATCCTGTGGTAAGTTTATCCATTAACTGTATTTTGGATACTCTGACATACCACTGTTCTATTTGGGTGGCTCTGATTCCACATAGCTGTTTTGAAGGCCATAGCATCATTCGGAAGGGGATTTGGAAGGGAGTTCTTTTAAAATTGAATTGACAGCGGGGTGTCATGTAAAAGACAAGTTGCTGGTTAACAACTCAAATTTACACTTCAATAGCCTGGGAGCAGATGACTGAGAATGAGCTTAGTGTGATGCAAAACAAAATTAAACAAAAAAGTTATGGTCTTTATTGCCAGATAGGCTTCTTTCAGTCAGAGCCACATGGTGGAGTAGTTTGTTTTCAAAGGTGGCAATCTTGAAGATGTACAAGGAGTGAACTAGAATTCAGGACCATTAATTAACATATTTCCTACCTGGAAGTTGGTAGAAGAACATGGGAGGTATAATACTTGCTAGATCCACAGCAGTGGTCTGCCATTCTCCAGTGCCACAAACTAACATGACACCAACAATGTTGAGACACAAAGAACAATTGTTTGTAGGGGTTTACCAACACAGCAGCATTTAGGCTATCTTTTATGAGTGGTAGAAAAGTATTTGTAGTGACCTAAGGAACATGCATGTTTTAGTCCCTGCCTGAAACACACTTCTGTCATCCAGTCAATGCTCATTCCAAAAAGTTCTATAACAAAAGTGAACTCAGAGTTTAGGGAAGTGCATTTGGGAAAAAAATTACAGTTACAAACTCAGGCCACTGTGAAATGCATTGATACGGTCATGGCAAAAAATATTGGCACCCCTGTATTTCTGTCAGATAATGCACCACTTTGCCCAGAAAATTGTTGCAATTACAAATGTTTAGGCATTCTCATGTTTATTTGTTTTGTTTGTATTGATATGACACAAAAAGTAAAGAAGCAAAAAGCCAAATCTCACGCTTTCCACTCAAAATTCCAAAAATGGACTGGACAAAATTATTGGCATTCTCAATTTAATATTTGGTAGCACACCCCTTGGAAAAAATAGCTGAAATCAATCACTTCTTGTAACCATCAAAAAGCTTCTTACACCTCTCTTCTGGAATTTTGGACCACTCTTCTTTTGCCAACTACTCCAGGTCTCTCAGATTGGGAGAGTTCCTTTTCCCAACTGCTGTTTTGAGATCTTTCCACAGGTACTCTATGGGATTGAGATCTGGACTCATTGCTGGCCAGTTCAGTACTCTCTAGTGCTTTCTCTGAAACCATTTCTGGGTGCTTTTTGATGTGTGCTTTGGGTCATTGTCCTGCAGTAAGACCCATGACCTTGACAGAGACCCAACTTTCTGACACTGAGCCCTCCTTTTACACCTCAGAATTCTTTGGTAGTCTTTGGATTTCATAATGCCATGCACACGGTCAAGACATCCAGTGCCTGAAGCAGCAAAGCAACCCCAAAACATCAGTGAACCTCCACCATATTTGACTGTAGGGATTGTATTCTTTTCTTTTAAGGCTTCATTGCTTTTTCTGAAAACAGTAGAATGATGGGCTTTACCAAAAAGCTGTCATTTTGTTTCATCTGTCCACAGCACATTCTCACAAAAGGATTTTTGCTTCCTCAGGTAAGTTTTGGCAAACTCCTTTATGGCTTTTTTTATGTTTGTGTCAGCAGCGAGGTCCTCCTGGGTCTCCTACCATAGTCTCTTTTAATTCGGATGGTGACATATAGTGCAAGCTGACACAGTTGTACCCTGTGCCTGAAGGTCAACTTGAATTTGTCTAGAAGTTGATCGAGGGTCTTTAGCCACCATTCGAACAATCCTTCTTTGGTTAGTTTTTCTCTTTCGTCCATGTCCAGGGAGATTAGCTACAGTGTCATGGGCTGTAAACGTCTTGACAATGTTGCATACGGTGGACACAGGAACATTAAGATCTCTGGAGATGGTAACCTTGAGATTGTCCATGCTTTTCCACAATTTTTTTTTTTTTTAAACCCACAGACAAATTTTTTTCTGCTCTTTCCCTTCTCCATGCTCCATGTAGCACACAGAGACACACAACAGAATGGTTGAGTCAATTTTTCATCCTTTTAACTGGTTGCCGGTGTGATTTCTATATTGTCAGCACCTGTTAATTGATACAGGTAAGTTTTATTACAAATTACAGGAGCATCACAAACTTGGAATGCAATTATTTTGTTTGATTTTGAGAAGGTGCCAGTAATTTTGTCCAGTTAATTTTTGGAGGTTCGTGTGGAATAGGTCAGATTTGGTTTTGTTTCTCTACGTTTTTGTATCAATACAAACAAAAGAAATAAACAATTTTAAACAATGCCTAAAGAATTTTAATTGCAACAATTTTCTGGGCAAAGTTGTGCATTATCTGACAGAAATGCAGGGGTGCCAATATTTTTGGCCATGACTGTATATGGTCAGCCTAACACTGGGGTGCTGCAGGACCCTTATAGAGGCACTTCCAAAATATGGCAGTTGGCATCATTACATTGATGGTCCGCTGTGGTAATCAGCATAAGCGTCTTTTTTTTTTTTTTTTTTTTTTTTTACACCGCTGTATGTTGTATAAATATAATATTACTCTATGCTTAATAAGTAAAAAACATAGAGGTATACACAAACATACCACCTGCATTCTAAGTACTAACCTTTTTTGTTTTTTTCTGTTGATAAGGTAATGAATCTGGAATTCGCTACATAACTGAAAACCTTATTCAGAAATTGTCAAAACAAGAAAATTTCTCATTTGTCACAGCCCTAAATTTCTCTCTATCAAAGGAAGGAGGCAAGAAATTCAAGGTAGTTTTCTTCACACAATAAACCCAGTTACGTGTGGAACATTCAGTAACATGTACAAGGGATTCAGCTGGACTTTTAAATTTGAATAATGACAGTGAGGACTAAGTTAAAGAGTTGGGGAAGAACCAAAAGTCACTCCATCATGGAAATATTTGAGAACATTGTGGAATATAATAAAGAGTTGTTTCGTTGGCTCTTGTAGAAAAGGAAAAGGTTCATTAGCTGTGAATAATTTTCTTCAGATAGATCTAGTTGGTTGTTCTAGGTCAGAGTCAGTGTAGCTAACATTCATATTCAGGTCAAATTGTTCCTGAGGCCTTCAGATCACTAAAAGCTTTAGTACAGTTTGCATGCCAAAAAATAAAGGCAATGTTACTTTCCTTAGAATCTAGGCCTGATCGGCTTTGTGGAGAACTGCTAACAGGCATCGTAAAAACATTTTTAAAGAAATGTGTAGTAGCAGTAGGCAGATAATGTTGCAGGTGGTTTGGGGTTGGGAGCGAGCAGTTACTCTTGTGTGATGATGGGGAAGGTCTTGGGCTGGATGTTATTCACTGTGCTCTATCTTATGTGGACCCTGACCCCCACCACCCTTAGTTTTAAAGTATGCACTTACCTTTAGAGACCTCGTCCTGAATACATAGGATGCCTTTGGCCCCACACAGGCAGTTCAAAGCACAGCCTTTTCTCTGTATCTTAGTTGTATACTCTGTGCTATTTAATTCTTCCATGTATGTATTCCATTAAAGCTGAATGGAAAAGAGGTGGTGGTACTTGGGTGTAACCAGTGTGTCTGTGTTCTCTGGTAGTCCAATGAACAGGCCAGAGTCAGGGATGTGTCATAGTGTGTGCAGACGTGCTGGCTGTGGAAAGTATAGTTACCCATGGGGTGAGGTGGGGGTTGTGTTGTTTTTGTTTTTTAACTGACTGACAGTTCTGTGTTGTGTTCAGTACATAGAAAACCTAGAGAAATGTGAGAAGTTGGAAATCTTGAATCTTAGCTGTAACCTCATAGAGAAAATTGAGAAAAACTGGAGAAACAGAGCCGACTTCGTGAGCTGAACCTGTCATGTAACAGAATCAGGTACCCTTACACTAGACACTGTCCCTTCCATTATTATAACGCATACAAAAAAAGAAGCCTGTGTGTGAAAAACGTACGGTTAGCTAGGAACATGCATTTTAGTACAAATCAAAGCTTCCACAATATAAAAAATTAGACTTCTGAATTACCTTGTATGCTTAGGATGATATGATGCTTCTTTTCTCCCAAAATGGAAATGGTCTCAGCCCATCTCTGTGGTCCTGGGAAGCTCAACACAACATCACTTATGGTTCTGGCAGATTTAGACACTGCCATCTTCTGCTCTCCTCCTCCATATTTTTTTTTTTTTAAAGCTTGAGGTGTGTGTGGGTGTTTTTTTTTTTTATCTCATGCTTTTCAGGGTAGAGGAGAGATATGGAGTCTTATAGACCCCAGATGTCTTCATAAAGAGGACCTGTCATGCATTATCACAAAGGATGTTTACATTTCTTGTGATAAGAATAACACTGCTAAAAAAAAAATTAAAGCACCCCTCTCCCCACTGTGCTCCTATGCTGTGGCAAACGCATATGTAGGTTGTGCCCGCATATGAGGTATCGCCGCGAACGATATAGCAAGAGCAATATTTCTAGTGCTAGACCTCCTCTGTAACTCTAAACTGTTGGGTATCTGTTTCCTTGACGTAACAACATCTTTTATATTTTACAAAAAAATAGGGTTATATATTGTGTTTTTTGCATTAAAATGAATTAAAGTGTATTTTTAAAAAAATGCGTTTGAAAAATTGCTGTGCAAATACTGGATGACATAAAAAAAATTGCAACACTGATAGTTTTTTTCTCTAGGGCCTCTGCTTAGAAAATATATATAGTGTTTGGGAATTCCGAGTAACTTTCTAGCAAAAAAAAAATATTTTTACATGTAGGAGAGAAATGTAAGAATTGGCCCTTGTAGGGAAGTGGGGAAGTTGTTAAAATAACACAGTTGGAATGGAGTAGTACTTCCCTTCTCTATTTGTTAGCAGCAGCTACTTTGACAAAGGGGCTAATATCAGAGGTATATTCCAGTATACACTTGGAGGCATTAAATAGTGGTAGTGACATTCCTCAATTTAATTTTCTCCGTCACAAAAATTGACACAACTTTTTATATTTCATAGGGTATAAATAAAAAAAAAATTATTATAAATAATAAAAAAATATTTTTGTATTGGAAATGACTGGATGCTTCTTGCCCAAGGTGTGAGAGCTCACCTGGGACTCTCATTCACATGCTCTGGGGATGCTCTAAGTTTTATACAGATACTGGACAGATATAGATATATAATGAATACAATAAACTCGGTATTTGGAGTATCTCTTCTGATAGATCCTAAGTTATGTGTACTGGGTTATATGGCATTTGAATTTGTGCCCCCTGCTACAGAGATAGTGGTCCATCGATGCTTTTTATCATGCTGGTAAACTTATAGCCCAGAGGTGGTTATCTTCTTTACCACACTACACTAGTGAGAGAGAAAATTACTTATGTAAGACGGGGATATGTAATGAAAATTGATAAACTGTGAAAACCCTGGTTTAGCTGCTCCAAGACTGACTCCTGGATCTGTAAATGTTGATGGACTTCTTACACAATTCTAAGTTCAGGGTGTTTTATTATTTTGAATGTTGGTAGAAAAAGGAAATATAGTGCCTTAATGTGAATAATACGGAATACATTGCTGATGGAAGATATAAAGATGGTTGACAATAACATTTTATCATTGGAAAAGCAAACAAAAGATATAAGATTGTGATTTGGAAAATATTGGTTTTGATAACAAGGTATATATATATTTTTTTTTTTTGTAGAGGATTTACAGTTTGAGGGCTTTTTGGGAGGAGGGAAGGTAAAAGAAAAAGTGTGTGTGTGTCTTAATTTTTTTTTTTTTCAATAAAAATGAATGAAGGAAATAATACATTTAAAAAATAAACCATTGTGTGTTTGTTTTTGCTGCGGGACAGAACAATCTCATCTGTTGGTTCTGCATAGGAGAAAGACTTTAATATGCAGTGTGTAAACTTTGTGCAATGAGAATTAATGTTTGATTTCTTGTTCAGTAAAATTGAAGGATTGGAGCACATGTACAGCCTGCAGAAGTTGAACCTGGCTGGGAATGAGATTGAGCACATACCGGTCTGGTTTGGAAAGAAGATGAAAGCACTTAGCACCCTGAACCTAAAGCAGAATAAAATCTTTTCAGTAAGTGAAACTGGTTGCCATGTATAAATAAGATTGCCAGAACAGAATGGGCTTTATTTATTGAAGTATCTCTCAGGGATCTAGTTATTCATTGTAGCAATTGTATTTCTTCAACATGCTATGGAAGAAACTTGTTAGCAGGGATACCCAAAATTGTTCTTCCTTCATTATTAAGTTAGTCTTCTGTAGTTGTGTTCCTGAATGCTTCCATGGATTATAAATTGTAGTATCTCTACAGTTGCAGGACATCTCTCGCTTGAAGACATTAAAAGATTTAACATCGCTCTTCATAGCGGATAATCCAGTTGCTGATCTTCCCCATTATCGCCTCTACATAATTTTCCATCTGCGCTCCCTAAATGTTCTGGATGGTCAGCCAATAACAAACGAGGAGAGACAGGAAGCACATGAACGCTTTAATATGGGTAAAAGTTTAAACTGTGTGTGTGTGTGTGTGTGTATGTATATGTATATTGCGTGTGTGTGTGCGTGTATATATATATATATGTATATATATATATATATTATATATGTATGTATGTATATATATATATATATATATATATATATATATATATATATACAGTTAGGTCCATATATATTTGGACACAGGCACAATTTTAGTTTTTTTCAGGTATTTACCAAAACAGATTCAAGCTATAGTGATATAATGGATATGGGCTGAAAGTGCACACTCTCAGGTTTGATTTGAGGATATGTACATTCAAATTTGAGGAAGGGTTTAGGAATTACAGCTGTTAAAAATAGCCATCCCCCCTTTTTCAAGGGACCAAAAGTAATTGGACATTTGAATCAAATGCTGTTTCATGGCCAGGTGTGGACTTCTCCTTCGTTATTTTTTTCATCAATTAAGCAGGTAAAAGGTCTGCAGTTGATTCTAAGTGTGGTATTTTGCATTTGGAATATATTGCTGTGAACCTACATCATGCGTTCAAAGGAGCTGTCCATGCAAGTGACACAGGCCATTGTAAGGCTTCAAAAACTAAACATATCCATCAGAAAGATAGCAGCAACATTAGGAGTGGCCAAATCAACAGTTTGGTACATTCTGAGGAAAGAAGAATGCACTGGTGAGCTCAGCAACATAAAAAGACATGGACATCCATGGAAGACAACAGTGGTGGATGATTGCAGGATCCTCTCTATGGTAAAGAAAAACCCATTCACACCATCTAGACAAGTGAAGGGCACTCTCCAGAAGGTGGGTGTATCATTGTCAAAGTCTACAATCAAGAGAAGACTTCACGAGAGCAAATACAGAGGGTTCACCACAAGGTGCAAACCATTCATAAATGGAGAAGAAAGAGAAGTGCGCCAGACTAAGTGCAGTATGAATATAAAAGTTTATTGCACACAAAATTATAAAAACTCACAAGAAGTGGGTAGATATCAGGCATCAATATATAAGGAGGAGGATTCATCTGTGCTGCACCTCACAAATGGATGGCTGTAATGTCAAGGTGTTGCGTGGCTGGCGCTCTAGGCGGGTCCCACAGGAGGAAGCGAGGATGGCAGGCGCAGTAACCGGGAGTCGCGGCGCAGATAAGAACCGGGATCCAGGGCAGGCACTGCTGATCTCTCACATCAGCGTGGGTACAGTAGCCAGCTTGACCAAACCATTCATAAGCTGAAGAATAGAAAAGCCAGATTAGACTTTGCCAAAAAACATCTAAAAAAGCCAGACCAGTTCTGGAAAAGCATTCTTTGGACAGATGAAACTAAGATTAATCTGTACCAGAATGACGGGAAGAAAAAAGTGTGGAGAAGGTTTGGAACAGCTCGTGATCCAAAGCACACAACAACATTTGTAAAACATGGTGGAGGCAGTGTGATGGCATGGGCATGCATGGCTTCCAGTGGCACTGGGTCATTGGTGTTTATTGATGATATGACAGAAGCAGCCGGATGAATGCTGCAGTGTTTAGAGATATACCGTCAGCCCAGATTCAGCCAAATATAGTAAAGTTGATTGGATGGTGCTTCACAGTACAGATGGACAATGATCCAAAACACACTGCAAAAGCAACCCAAAACTAAAGGTAGGAAGACCCATGAACAAAGAACAACTGAAGACAGTTGCAGTTAGAGCCTGGCAAAGCATCAGAAAGGAGGAAACCCAGTATGTGGGTAATATCCATGGGTTCCAGACTTCAGGCAGTCATTGCCAGTAAAGGACTCTCAACAAAATATTAAAAATGAACATTTTATTTATGATTATAATTCATTTGTTCAATTACATTTGAGCCCCTGAAAATGGAGGGACTCTGTATAAAAATGGTTTAAAATTTGTACTTGATATTTATGTTCAACCCCTTGAATTAAAGCTGAAAGTCTGCTCTTCAAATTCATTTGGATTGTTTCGTTTAAATTTTTTTCTGGTGGCATACAGAACCAAAAGTATAAAAACCGTGCCTGTGTCCAAATATATATGGACCTGTGTGTGTAGTGTGTTTGCTTTATAGTGATCTACAGACGTAAAATAAATAAAGTGTAACTGAAACATTTATTTGTCATTGAACACAAATGACTTTGTGTTTTAGTTAACTACATTAACAAATGCATTTTATGTGGTAAAATCTATTTTCTTAATTTTTATTTTCACTTAAATCGGTAGTAAAATTGTGGTTTAAAAAAAAGTTTCACCCTGCAAGGCAATCTCATAATCTGCTAGTATACATCACATACTAGCACATTAGGAGAGACTTACCTTAAAACGAAGCCCTCCAACGGCATGCTGTAGCCACTGACAGGGCTTCCATTTTCACCCGGTCTTAATTCCGGGTTCTTGGTCTGACTGGCCGAGTCATGATGACACCACTCCTGCGCATGGGCATGGGAGTTACGGTTTATGGCACAGACCTCTGAAAGAATGGCACGGTGTGCCATTCCTTCAGAGTGCATGCGTTGGTGATGTCAGTGGCTGCGGCTCCATGGAGTAAAACTCCTAAACAGTGCACGTTTAGGATATATTCATTTTACCTACAGGTAAGCATTATTATAAGCTTACCTGTAGGTAACTTTACCAGAAACAACTTTGTTACCACTTTAAGGAAAGAGCTGCTATTTTGGCGATCAAACTGCAGCCTCCCAAACACCACTGATTTTCTGTTCCCCTGAGAGGATGACTGGTTATGTCACTTGAACTAACAGCTGTCTAAATGTTTAATGGTTTCACATGGCTTGATGGCTAAAATTCTATAACTGTAGTAATCAGGAGATACTCCATTTACAGAAGAGGTAGAGAAACTGGAGAAAGACCTGGAGAAAAAGATGAAGGAGATTGAAGAGTTGCAGGGCCAGAAGGCCAAGGTCCTTAATGAGCTCCACCACCAGGATGAGGTTAACAAGTCTCTGAGGCAGGAGGCCCAACAACACAAGAAGAGCTACAAGGAGTTTGAGCAAGAAATGGACACTAAAAATGAGCTGGTAAGTATACTGACCCATGTAGACCTCTCGCTTTTTCATTAATTCTGTGCAGGGGTTGCTGTATCCCAGAGCAACCAGTCATTGCTCTGATTACAATACTCCAAACTGATGCAGTTTTAATTATGCCTGGTTTTCTGTTACTATACTTTGGATTGATTTTTAATTAAACTTTAAAGTAGTATTAAACCCAAAACCAAAAGTGTAATATAATGCAGTTTACCAATCACCAGATGTGGGGATGTATTCTTTTTCTTATTTTAGGCTATTTTCCCTCTGTTTTCACCTGGTGATCTGGCCAGTAACACACCTTTTGTATTATACAGACACCACTCTGGATAAATGAGCACGGGGCAGATTTGGACAGTACCATTGTCAGTTTGGCGGAAGGGAGTGTTGGCTGTACTAGCAGATTTAGATACACTAACAAATTGAAGCTGAACTCCAGCTAATACTTTAAGATTAATTATAGCAAACAGTTTTTTCCTTTTGCGATTAAGGGATTATTTAAAAAAATATATCAAAATTATTTTAAGCAACTCTGTCATTTGTCATATGGTCTGTCTCATTTCTGTAACTGCAAGAGAGCTTTTCTGTTGAAAAACAGAATTACTGGCAAGATTACGAGATGAAAACAGAAGAAGGCCTAAAAAAAGGTAACGAACACAGCCATCACATCTGAGAATTGGTAAGCTGCAATATATTTAAATGTTTGTTTTGGGGTTTAATACTATTTTAAATTTTTGTAGCATAGCACCTAGCAGAAGCCAATTTCAGTTAAATGTTAGATTGTGATTCATGTAGACTAGCTGTACTTAATCTAAGCATACACCAGTACCAAAATTGTGAAATTTTATTTAGATGTATCATTTTTAATATATATCTGTTCTAGCTGTTGAAGGTCTTGGGATGTTACCTTTTGATTGGGTGGCTCTTTGGCTGTAGGGAGGCAGGACAGTGCACAGCATTGGCAGAATTATTTTTTTCTGAGGATACCATCAAACATCCTGGTTTTCAAAAAACTTAACACAGGACAAAGTGTATCTTTTTTGTATAGAGAAGTGTTTTTCAGCTGGAGTGCCTTGTCACCCTGCAGTGCTGCGAAAAGTCCCCAGGGATGCTGTGGCAAAATCACACAAGACTGCTCAAACCTATAACAGTCTGATCAAAGAGTGATCCTGTGTACAGAGAGGCATGGGAGAACACAACCCGCACCTCCTCCCTGCTGTTATCTGTACTCCTGTTGGCAACCCAGGAAGCTGTTTGCTCCCTACCAATCTATGAGGCTATTGGTTGCTAAAGACAGGTTGGGAGACCTGCAAGAGCTTCCAGGTTGCTGATAGGAGTATAGATGGCAGCGGGGAGGAGGAGAGAGCCGTGGGGCAGCGTGGGCTGTTCTCTCACCCGCCTGTCTGTACACAGGAGTAAACACAGGATCGCTCTCTGATCAGACTGTACAGTGCTTGTTTATTCCCCCCCCCCCCCCCCACTGCTCCTGTGTCAGGAGCAAAAATTGTGGGTAAAGGTATACAGACAGG